AATTAAGCTTGGATTGATCATTAATGTGTGTCAACAATGTATAACACTGACATTTTTTCAGAACTGAATCTCAGTCATCCATGGACATATTTCATTCAAACTGGTTATGTCCACTGAATGTAGGGTCCTTGAAGCGCGTCATTTTTTTCCTGATTTTATTCAAAATGCTGACTGACATTCATTTTGTTTTTAACGCATGCTGGACTGATCATGTTTAAGCTTTACATGTCTGTCACATGAGACATGAGTGTAGACACTTATTCGTCCCCGTTCGGACAAAGTCTGAAAACGGGGACTTATAATTCGGTCTTCGTCCGTGCGTCCATCCATATCTCAGAATCCCTTGGACCGATTCCGTTCATTCTTTGCATGTGCCTAGTACTCTATCTAGGACATATGCATATGCAGTGGTTTAGCGATTCGATTCAAAATGGTCGACTGGCAGCCATCTTGTTTTTTGAAAATGTTGTATTTTGGACATGCTTTGTTAGTTTTCATTCAAATTTGGTACATAGATTATACATGTTAGAATACATGTCCATAACGATTTATTTCACAATTGGATCAAAGATGGCCGATTGGCAGCCATCTTGTTTTTTGAAAATGTCATATTTTGGACATGCTTTGTCAATTTTCATTCAAATTTAGTACATTGATCATACATGTTAGGATACATGTCCCCGACCGTCCGTGAGTTCCTGAGTCTGTCTGTCCGTCAGTCCGTTCGTGCGTTCGTGCGTCAGTCTGTCAATAGTCATATTTCAGAATCCTATGGACCGATTCCGTTCATTCTTTGCATGTGCCTAGTACCTTATGTGGGACATATGCACATGCAGTGGTTTAGCGATTTGATTCAAAATGGCCGACTGGCAGCCATCTTGTTTTTTGAAAATGTTGTATTTTGGACATGCTTTGTCAGTTGTCATTCAAACTTGGTAAATAGATTATACATGTTAGGTTACATGACAATTTATTTCGCAATTGGATCAAAGATGGTCGACTGGCAGGCATCTTGTTTTTGTTTTTTTTGGCGGTATCTTGGAAGTGCTCTGTCAGTTTTTATTCAAATTTTGCACATACATGTGCTTTATACATGTTAGGATGCATGTCCATGACAATTTGTTTGAAAATCTGGTCAAGGATGGCCGATTGACAGCCATCTGACTTTTTGGCCTTACTACTTCATTTCCACAATTTAAGTACCATTTTCATTCGTATTTGGCACATACATCATACATATCAGTGTGTTTCATAATCAGATCAAAGATGGCCAAATAACGGCTGTTTTTTTTTCTGGCCATATTACTACTACACGGAACACGTGTTTTGATGTAAATAAACAATCTGTTGTAAACCACCCCCACCCCCCGCTTTAATATGACAAGCACAAAGAGAACTTTCAAAAATTTTACGGGGACTGTGTCATTTTCAATGACTTGTTTGGCACTAACTTTGACAGTCACTAAAAACTGGATGACGACTTGTTATTGACATTGACTTGTTTTTTTTCATGATGGCAGCAACGACACGTGGAGGCAGATGTAAAGCGACAAGAGAGGCGGAATAAGCCGTTCATTCCACCAAAGGAACCTGTTGTGAAGAAACAAAAGAGTGAACAACCAGAGAAAACATCCACAAAGATTGATATAGAAGCATTGAAACTAAAAATAAAAAAATCTCAGGTGGGTGAAAATCAAATATTTAATGCTTATGGGATTTTGAAACCAAGTAATGTATGAAGAATATATATTTTGCAAATGGATAAAGTAATAAAGTAACTATCTTGTTAAATGAACACTGGGTCATCTACGTCTATAAGCTATGCATTTAGATATTGAACATTTTCTCTCAGTGTTGGTGTTCTCTCAGTGTTGTTGTTATCTCAGTAGCGATGTTCTCTTAGTAATGGTGTTCTCTCAGTG